GGTATTGCATCGATTTCATCTGAACCCAGTCTCAGCCATTATCACACTGTTGACGGAGGCCATGTCGTTCCGGGGCTGTTACGTTGTGGTTTTAGACACTGCATCAGCGCATCAGCTATGAGTAACGCCATGAGTTTGGAAAGCACAGCTTGCAGCGTTACAGCAGTTGCATCAAACAGAGATTCCTGGACTCTCACCTCCAACCGACGTCGTGCAGGAACTTGCAAATTCAACGCAGGCTTATGTCACTTATGCTGTAGTTCCGAAGCTCGTGATAGAGAATTCGATGGTTTAAGCGGCCGAACGCTTTTGAAAAATTCCAGGTAGCTGATGTCAGCTTAGCGCCATCTTTAGTTACTTCAGTTCAGCCAGTACGCGCAATTAATAGGTTAGTACTATATGAGCTCTGTTGATGGAAGCCATGTTGCTCCGGTACCACAAAACTTTGGTTTTCCAGGTACTGCATAAGGGTGTATGCTATGATTGATTCCATGACTTTGGAAAGCACAAGAAGCAGCGTTACTGGACGGTAATTGACAGCATCAGTGCAGCTTCCTTCCTTATTAATACGAGTGTTGACCTCTCGCTTCCATACTGAGGGAATGTGCCCAAAAATTACGCATTGGGTATAGCACAGCGTTGTCTTACTGAGGAAAATAGCTTGGAGCAGCGAATGAAACTCACGGTAGACCAGATAGTCGATGAAGTACGCCTTAATATGTCATATTTCACTTTCCAGTCGAGACTGTACTCTCAGGAACAGGGACTTGCCATGGAGTCACCAATATCCCCCGTATTGGCAAATCTGTATATGGAAGACTTTAAGAGAACGGCGCTGAAAAACTCCAGTAGTTAGCCAAAGATTTGATGGCGCTACGTGGATGGTGCATTTGTGATTATAAATTGAGATATGAAGGATGCCTTTCTAAACCATTTGAACTCCACTAACGGAAACATAAAATTTACTATGGAACTAGAATCTTGCAGTGGCACACTGCCATTCCTCATTTGCCTAGTTCATAAGAACGGCGAACGGTTAAAGACGACGATATATGGCAAGCCGACAGATACGGACCGAGTGCTTCATTACAGTTCGGGTCATTCAACACAAGTCTATGCCGCTATCACGTCATCTCTGTTTCACAGAGTTCAGACTCTATGTACAAAGGAAGAGGACAAGAAGGCCGCTCGTAAGGAGACGGTGAGCAACTTAGTGGACAGTGGATATCCGAGGCGGTTAGTGAATCGCCAGTTGCAGAGAGCTCTAAAGCCACCTCCGCGACGCACGACGGAGTGGATTGGGACGATCGGAATCCCCTATACAAACAAAACCTCAGAAGCAATCAGACGAGTAATAACGGAGAAAATAAGAGTGGTTTTTCGAAAGGGTAAAACGTTCTATTGAGAACTTGTGCGTTTGAATGATGCGCTTCCAAGAGATAGGACGACGAATTGTGTTTATAAAAATTGCAATGACTATGAACACGTGTATATACGTCGAACAGCGAGAGAGCTACGCACGAGGATAGCAGAACATAAAAGGTACGTTTCGCATCACCATGAAATGAGCCTGAGTACAGCGCCCTACTAAAAGATTCAGCGGTGGCCGTAAATGCGCTAGACGCAGGACACGAGATTGATTTGGACAATGCTGAGATACTTAAAAGGGGATTAAAAGCAACGAGCCAAAGATTGATTGCTGAAGCGATCGAGATTACTAAGGCCAATGGGAAACGGGCATGTCTGGCATTTGCAAATGTCCTTAGTCCAGTCACGACGCAACTCCTCACAAGCATGGCACACAATGTGAGGTACCCATCTTTTGTCTCTTTCACTAAAAAGTGTTAACAGTGTGCTTTGTCATTTACGGAAGCCTAACACAAATGCTGCACACGACCCGATGGTAATCGTCCCTTCATCCAATCAGACTGTGCCACAGCCCATCCAATCATCAGTGAGTCAACCACTAGTGTACCGTATAACTCCGTCACTATGTTATACCTGCTAGCATGTTGACTCTTGATCTAGTTGTGTGAATACTACCTTGTCCTATGCACGATCTAGTATTTTATCCACATACTCGGTATAGTTCGGATTATATCGACGGGCGACGGAATTGGCTACTGAAGTGACAATCTCAGCAGATGATCGCCTTGCGATTCTTCAACAATAGTAGACGCAGTTCAAAGCCACTCAACTCCGTCTACTCGATACTCTGTCTCGTAACTTTTCTATGCTTTCCAAGGACAAGGCACCGCATGCTGAACAAACCAGTTTGAGGTCAATTGTGTTCACAATTCAGTTTGCCAACTTTACGTTTCATCTGGTGCTACACTTGATTCCTTGTTCAAACGCTATGAGGACATATATTATGTTCAGTTCGGTGAGAGTGAGGATGCACGCTGAATATGAACACTGCTTCGTAAGTTGTGGGCCATGGAACACGACCGTTTTGTAAGATACATTTTGGCGACACACCCACGTGATTTTTCATTTGATGACTGTTCAATGTCTCACTCATGTTTTGGCAAACGCTCTTCATTCTTCAGCACATGCTATCACTGCTTAAAACTGCTCGAACACTCCATGGATAACTATATTACCTATGCAGGTCTAGATAATCACGAGTGCGAAAACGTTAAAATCGCTTCCATGACAGAGACACAGTGCAAGTGTGATGTTCATTTGTGGCCAGCAGTCTCGGTCAGAAACGGGCATTCGCGCACGACTTATCGCCAAGCTGGAGCAACACCCAGATATAACGTGGTTGAGAATGGCTGAGGAATTGCAACGCCTGCTTAACCTGAAGCAAGATTCCAGTATGGTAGCAGAGCGACAGATCAACATGGTGGATGTTATACCGGTGAGATCACAATAGCAAGAGTTTAAAAAGCCGCCTACAGCATGTTGGAACTGTGGTGCACGGCGCTAGGCATCCCAGTCACTTTTCGCCGACATCAGTGAAACCAATTTAAACGTTCTGTCCACAAAGATGGTTTCTGCAAGCCACACAACCGGACTAACACCGACAATTCCAACAAACGATTTTCGAAGCCACCACAGGAGTAGGTTATCCGCAGCATTGTTGCTACCTATCAAGTCAACGGGATATCGTGCAGGCGCTACGTGACAATGAGTTTTAGTGGGTATCCCGCAACTCTTCAGTTAGACACTGGATCGGACGTCATCATTTCATAATCCATTTGGCAAGCCACCTGATGTCTGGCAGTTTTTCCCACTCATCAAATTGCCATCAGTGTATCAGGAACTACTCTCTCGGGTTGGTTGGTGAGTTACGTTGTTTGACAACCTACAATGAGCAGATGTATGAGTCCATAAATTGCCTCACTAACCAGGCAGGATTGAACATTCTTGGTATTGACTGGTTAGGTAGGCTCAATCTTTGAAGTATTTCTCTTTAGAAAGTGTACAAACTGACGCTGGGTATCAGCATCCCACCCGTAATTAACGATGCAGGGCCCCAGCAGACGATTTCACAGCGGTTGTTTCAGCGATATGCCGTAGTTTTACAAGACAGCCTTAGACTTTTACCAAATCTAGGCCCAATTACAATTGAGAACAGATGCTAAACCTGTTTTCGTCCAAAAGGTCCCGTACCGTATTCCGCACTAGCCAGTATCGATCAAGAGCTTAATCGTCTACAAATAATAGACGTCATCCGACCGGTCAATTATTCTGACTGGGCTGCTCCCATTTTAGCAGTGCGAAAAGCTAATGGCCCCATCCATGTTCGTGCAGATTTTTCACCAGATTTTAATGAGGCCCTTTAGGCGCACAACTATCCACTATCAGTTCCAGAAGACATCTTTGCAAAACTTAGGTTGGAGATTGTTAACCAAACTGGATCTAGCGGACGCATATCTACAGCTCGCCGTTGAGGATGGTTCCAATGAATTGTTGACAATTCACACACATCGTGGATTGTCTCATTTTAACCAATTACCGTTCGGGATTAAAACAGTCCCATCCATTTTTAGCGGCTAACGGATCCCATGTTCACGGGCATCGACGGTGTTGTAGCTTATTTAGATGATCCCTTACTTGTGGGAGCGAATCCAGAGAAGGTGTCATTGAGGCTCGACCAGGTCTTGGATCGAGTAAAGGAGTACGGATTACGCCCGAGGAAGTGCAGTTTACCCTTAACACAGCTTAACTACCTGGAATTTATCATAAATTAGAACAGATGTCGTCCCGATCCAGCCGATGGCGCGAGAAAGATCGCACTTCGCCGTCGCCATAACCCGACGCCAAAGAGTTGGCGCTTGGTCATGACAAGAAAAGCGCTTGCACAATAGCCGTCCGTTCGCACAACTCCGGATTCATTACTCTGATTGCAATAACCTCGGCCGCCCTCTGGAAGCGTTTTCGCAGCATTTTGCCCTACCTATTAGGCACAGTGTAGAAGGCATTGAATGAGTTGGCCGGTCGGAATTCGTGTCCACTTTGGAATTTGTGCTCCGTGATGACGTTGTTAAAGCGTCCGACCTTGCCGTTCTTAGCGACCCCGAGCAGTGCTCAGCACTTCGTTTTGACTGACGCCTGGTCGTATGTCCAATGAACTTTGCACCACAGATGCAAGTGAATTGATATAGAACATATGGCTTGGACTAGACCTGGAGTCTGTCGTTAAAGGGCTGGGTGATAAGCAGGGTAGTCTGTGTCATGGGCAGGTTTTAGCTACGGCAGTCAAGGGTCTTCTTCAGTCAATCGAGGGCGAGGTCTTCTTTGAGCTGCACAGTAAGAAAGACGTCATTTATACAGATAAATACATAATTAAATCCTTTATTCTCGGACAATATCATGCACGCCTATGTAGGCATGACCAAATCTGCACATTCTGCATACCTAACAAATTATAATGCATTAAAACGGTAACATGCAAAAAGCGATTTCATATTGGAAATTAGCACCCAAATTTCATTCAGAATCAGTTTAAAGTTTCATTGAAGCAGAAAGTTGTGACACTATTTTGCCACATGTTATGTTTGTTCAGGCAGGCGGAATATGAGATTAACGTATGACATGATGATCAAGATTGCATTGCCAACCAACCGACTGGCGTTCCCTGTCGTTCTGCATCGTTCATGCATCGGATGTCGAAGGCATTGATAATACATTGCGTGCCTGTGAAGGTAGACAAGATGTACTAATTATTTTTCTGTTTCATTCCATATTTTTGTCGACATGAAAATATTCCAAAACTCATTAGGTGTTGAAGTATGACGTTCCGCTTCACATGACGCGTGGAATGAACTGAAAGATAAAATTAACTGGGTCATACAATCAGCATCGAAGGTTATACCATTACGAACATCTCGCTGGACCAATACGTGGATCCGGAGCAGAACACTTAACTGGATCAACAGAAGATATGAAATCTGGAGGCAACATTTGGTAAGCCCATGTGATATCACATGGAAGGATTACAAAGTCATCAGAAACTACTGCACGTCACTCATTAGAGTCGATAAGTACGAATGGTAGGAGAATATGGTGCTGAAATTTACGAGTAACACCAAACTGCCATACAGATTTGTGACTCGCAAAAGAAAGATTAAGCCCGGAATACCGCCACTCAGGACGGCCAGTGGCCTAACAACTACTGCTGTGGATGCCGCGAAGGCTCTTCTCTTGCAGTTTGGCTCGGTAGCTACAAATGTCATGGAACCTTCGCCCTATCAACTCCCGACCAATGTCGTTGGCTTATCCAGTGTCAACTTTAATCCAGCAGCTGTTGCAAGCAAAATACAGTCTCTCCGGGAGTACAGTGCCCCTGGAATCGATATGATCTGCCCAAAAGTACTAAAAACCCTTGCTCCCACCATAGCAGCACCACTTGCAACCTTTTTCCAGTGTCTACTTAACTCCCATACACTCCCATCTGAGTGGAAAAATGGCATTATCACTCCAATATATAAAGGAGGTAAGCGCTGGGATCCTGCTAACTACCGACCTATTACTCTCCTTCTTGTTTTGTCAAAAGTAATGAAATTGGTAATCGCAGATGAACTGACGAGATACTTTGAAAGTCAGCAGATAATTTCTAATGCACAACAAGGTTTCCGACGCAGAAGATCTTGTCTCACTAATTTGCGGATTACTGGGGACTTATGGACCAGGGACGCCGTTGAAGGAGTGCCCGCAGATGTGATATACCTGGATTTTGCTAAAGCATTCGACAGGGTCAATCACTTCTTTCTCCTCCAAAAGCTTGCTGCCTACGGTCTCAACGGTTCCCTGCTCACCTGGTTGGAAGACTACTTACACGACAGAGCAATCAAGGTAAGAGTAGCCGACACCTATTCTGAAAGCCTTTACGTCTCCAGTGGTGTACCACAAGGATCCGTCCTCGGCCCGCTACTATTTTTAGTCTACATTAATGACCTCCTATCAGACATTCTATCTCCAATGCAAATATTTGCAGACGATGCTAAAATATGGAGAGCAATTCGCTCAGCATTCGACCGTGTCTACCTCCAGGAAGATCTGACCCGGATTAACGAATGGGCAGAAAAGAACCAGCTCCCATTGAACCCTGCAAAGTGCCACCTGCTGACGGTGCACAACAGCTTCGTCAACACATGCCTTTTGGGGCAACACTTCATGCAACACGTGACTAGTGAACGCGACCTAGGGATAAGCGTGCAAGAGCGTCTTGGAAATTCGCTCCAATGTTCGAAAGCAGCAAGTGTGGCGAACTTGAACTTGAGACTTTTGAGGCGAGCTCTCGGCACTTTTGACCGACAGCTAGTACCATTGTTGATTAACTCCTACATTCGTCCTCATGTTGAATATGCAATTCAGGCCTGGTGTCCATGGTTAAAACGAGACATCCGCCTCTTGAAACAGCCCCAAAAGAGAGCCACAAAAGCAACGCGTGGACTATCCGGTATAAGTTACGAAATGCGTCTTCGTGTACTCGGTGTGTTCTCATTAGAAGACCGACGGCTTCGCGGAGATCTTACTCTCACATACCGGATACTAACCGAAAGCCAGCATCCATGTACATCACTGTTGACTCTAGCCCCCATACAAACAAGACCGAGGCAACCACCTGACGCAACACTCTCGTTTGAATTGTAGAAAGTATTTTTCCCCACTCAGAATCTGTTCTCACTGGAATGCATTACCAAACTATGTGCTGAACGCACCAGACTTGAGGACATTCGAATGACTCTTAGATTTTCATTTTAGGGATAAAAGATAAACAACACTTTGTTAAAGTGCAATGATTTAACCACTGATACTTTACGTTCCACTTTGGAACATTTTGATTTTAATTTTCTTTTGCATATCCATCCTGTGGGTCTTGTAAAGTTATGCTTTTTATCACATCATACACCATTGAACCATTGAATGTGACAGAGAATAGAGGCAGCCCGAAATTCAGACATCCGTGGTCTACTTATGGTTTACGGGTATAGATGCAAACTCAATGTGGTTGCCTGACTTTATTTTCAGTTCTGAAGGTGAGTCGAAAAAAAGCTTCAACTGTGCTAGGGGTGGTGGTATATTCATGCGTGATGAAGTGCACAAAGACAGAATACCCAAGGATAAGTTTACAATAACGAACTTGTTGAAGTAAGTACAGCAAAAGTGTTCGGTACTTGATAACCTTTTTCATCGCCTAACTCTGGTCGGCTCGCAACCACCGCGCCTGTACGGACTACCAAAGTGTACAAATCACATGTCTCGCTGCGCCAAAGTATCGACACGCCTGGCTCCGGAATTCGTGCGGTTGCGAAGTGGTTTGTAGAAGCGCTGGAGCTTGGCTATAGTTTCGTCAACTTACTCACTTAAACCTGTGAATCGCGTGCACGTCCATGGCAGGTTACTGAACCCATTGACGTGGAATCGCTATTCACTAATGTCCCCTTGATTGAAACCGTTAAATTCTTTTTTGGATATATGCCTGGGAAGAACATAAATGTTGGTATTCTGACGTGTACACTAAAGGAACTTATATTGCGTTGCACTTCTGCTAGACAGTTCGAATTCGATGGAACCAATTACAGGTAGGTTGACGGCGTCGCAAATGGGCTCTCCACTGGGGCCAATTTTCGCTGACATATTTCCGATTGAACTTGAACGCGGACCTATTCAGCCTGTTGTCTCCGCATTTGATTCATATTGACGATACATAGACGACACATATATCGGCTGTGATTCAAGTGTCGATTTAGCATGTCTGCTGGCTGAGTTCAACAATACAAGTCAATTGTCTAACTTCACCAGCAAAAGTGAACATGCTGGCAAGCAAACTTTCTTGAATGGTTTGCTAGAGACGGGAAGATTCAACACTTAAGAAAAGGGTCTTCCGGAAAGATACGTAGGCAGGCAAATACTTGCACGTTTTAAACTTCGTACCTGTATTATACAAGTGGGATATAGTCAGCTGAATTTATTATCGTGCCGTCATAAGCTGTAGCCCGGAGACGCTGGAAGAAGAGTACGATAACTGCAGCTGTGCACGAAAATGGCTACCACATTCCGTCGACCAGAAAGCAAACCAATATCTGTATGCACCCGAAAACTACCATCACTCTTCTAAACAGCATTTCTTTCCCATTAAGACGTTAAAAGGGGATGTCGCCTTCGACTTACCCAACAGAAGACACTTGACTGCAGTAACTAAAGAATATCTAGCAGCGCACACATGTGTTGTTGCACAGACTACTCCGCTTATCACCCAGCCCTTTAACGACAGACTCCAGGTCTAGTCCAAGCCATATGTTCTATATCAATTCACTTGCATCTGTGGTGCAAAGTTCATTGGACATACGACCAGGCGTCTGTCAAAACGAAGTGCTGAGCACTGCTCGGGGTCGCTAAGAACGGCAAGGTCGGACGCTTTAACAACGTCATCACGGAGCACAAATTCCAAAGTGGACACGAATTCCGACCGGCCAACTCATTCAACGCCTTCTACACTGTGCCTAATAGGTAGGGCAAAATGCTGCGAAAACGCTTCCAGAGGGCGGCCGAGGTTATTGCAATCAGAGTAATGAATCCGGAGTTGTGCGAACGGACGGCTATTGTGCAAGCGCTTTTCTTGTCATGACCAAGCGCCAACTCTTTGGCGTCGGGTTATGGCGACGGCGAAGTGCGATCTTTCTCGCGCCATCGGCTGGTGTAACGCCTGTCTTCAGTTGATGGACAGGAATATCGATCGGGTGCGGCAGCATTGTTGCTAGGCTCCCCAGTCATCTTGTCTCAGTCCGGCCCTCATTGGCTTACTGCCTGGCATTGTCCTTTTCATTCTTATAATTGTATTTGCTTGATGGTAGGTATTGAAAAGAGTTCTCTTCGCAACCTTGAATTCTTATGTTGAGTGTATCGTTTGTGGACATTATTCACGGAGTGGTTTTTCTCTTTAACGAATAATTCTACAACAGCTGCATGTATGGAGAAATGTTTAGCAACACAGTTAATCAGGTGAACGATTTGCCTGTGAGTTAAGTTGTAACTTATACTTAGTCCACAGATGCACCTTTTAATCTACTTCCTGTTTTTTAAACGGATATAAGTCACACATACTATCCCACGAGACCTACAATACTTTTAATTTTTTGTTACTCCATTGTTTCATCTGCAGCGTTATATCCACTTAAATGAGTTTTGGTCATATCTGGAACTAAAGTAGATTAATATATACTTCTGCTTGTCTAAAATATCATAATGCATTAAACTTGCTGCATACAAACTACGATCTCAAGTGGAAATTACTATTAACAGTTAATTCAGAATCTATTTAAAAGTCTATTGCAGTGTAAATTTGGAAATGGTGTTGCCGTGTCTACTGATCAGACAGGCAGGTTTAATTTGAGAGTAGCGAATGACATTACGATCAGATAACATTGCCAACCAGCCGACTGGCATTTGCTGTCGTTCTGCATAGTTCATGCATCGGATGTCGAAGGCATTGATAATACATTATGTGCCTATGAAATAAGATGTACTAACTAGTTTTCTGTTTTATTCAGTATTTAATAGACATGAAAATGCCCCAAAACAAATTACTTGTTGAAGTGCGACCTTTCTGTGAACATGTGACACAGAATGAAGGCATCATGAACTCCAAACATTCGTGGTCGACTTGTAGGTTACCTGTACAGATACAAAGC